AACATTTCAAATAAGTTAGCGTTAACGGCCATACTAGTATAAACTGTGTTACAGCCGTCAGCGTCTTCCACCCTAAGTAGTACAAAAATAATTTCATTTCGCTATACAATACACAGACATGTTAAAATAAATATGGAAAATAAAGAGATTTTTTTTTCTAATTACCACAAACCTCTGTGTGTGTGTGTGTGTGTGTGTGTGTGTGTGTGTGTGTGTGTGTGTGTGTGTGTGTGTGTGTGTGCGTGCGTGTGTGTGTGTGTGTGCGCGTGCGTTAGTATTTAAAAATTCATTAACCTCTCTGTTTCCATGTAATTAAGATTTAGCAACCAGTATAGAATTTTGTCCTTGCATTTATAAAGGGACATAGGGTAAATATAGCTTATTTTATTTGCTACATTATATAAATGACTGCTTATGACATAATATTGTCGCCGGGCTAGAGCAGTTCTATGAAAAGTCATTTTACAAATTCTATTTTTGTTACGTTTTAAATTAGGTATAAAATCTGTATTTTTGTGCTTACGTAGTATAACAGACATGACAAATAGTTGTCTTACAGTAAGTACAGAACATTCCTTATAAATAAGTTCAGTGCTATATCTTAGTGATTTACCCAGCATAACCTTTAATATTGCTCTCTGTGCACGTTCTAAGGGGAGTAGAGTTGTCTTTCCAATTCCACCCCAGGTTAAAATGCAATATTGTAGTAAACTCTGAGCAAGGGCATAATAAACACATAGCAAGGTTTCAAAATCAGCTGAGTTCCTCAATTTTCTTAAAATTGGTATTAATTTTCTAATACGGCAGGTTAAGTTGCTAATATGCGCTGACCAAGATAGGCAGTAGTCTATGATAAGTCCGAGGTATCTTATATGAGTGGAACGACTTAGTATTGGGCAGTTACATTTGATTTGTTGTTCACATGTATGTGCTTTGAGATGAAATTCCGCTGATGGTTGGGTACTAACACGGTGAGTGAAGGTAATATATCTCATTTTCTTTACATTTAGTGTCAGTAGGTTACTACTAAGCCACCACATGACCTTACCAAGCGCAAACTCTGTATGAAATTGGGCGTCTTTCCACTCTTTACCGTGTACAATTAAAGCAGTATCGTCGGCATACGAAATTATTTTGCAGTTAGGCAGCGTAATTTTGCATAAACTATTCACGTAAACGAGAAAGAGAGTTGGGCCCAGTACGCTGCCTTGTGGGACTCCAAACGATACAGTTGCAGGTAAACTAGTGTAATCACCGATTTTAACTAACTGCGTTCGATTAGATAAATAAGACCGAAATATATCTAAAGCAATTCCCCGTACGCCGATCATTTCCATCTTATGAAGAAGTAGGGGAACAGAGACAGTGTCGAAAGCCTTTGACAAATCAAGAAAGACACCTATTACTTTTGACTTATTATCAAGATGTTTTGCAATCGTCTCAGTTAGGATTAAAGTTGCGTCTTCAGTAGACTTGCCTTTCACAAAGCCAAATTGGTTATCCGAAATAATATTATTATGTTTAAGAAAATTTGTGAGTCTAAAATTTAAAACTTTTTCAAGTATTTTAGAAAGCGCACTCAGTACAGATATGGGCCGGTAGTTTTCAACACTGTCTCTGTCACCACTCTTATGTATTGGATGAACTAAAGCCCTTTTTAAGATGTCTGGAAATACACCAGTTTTTAAGCAAAGGTTACACATATATGTTATAGGTGGGATAAGGCTGTTTTTGGCACGTTTTATGAGTTGCGAAGGTATTCTGTCGATTCCTGTGGCTGAATCATTTCTTAAGTTTGTGATAATAGCTTCTATCTCGTAACAGTCTGTATCGAGCAATACCATGGAATTATTCAAAGGGTCGGATTCACTTCGATGTTTAGCGATATTAGGATAGCCATTGTTTTGTTGTTTTTTTAATATTGCATTAGCATAAGTTGAGCCAATTTCTGCAAAGTAATTATTAACAATATTGAGAGATTTATGTGGATCTTGAGTTAAATTTAGTAACTCACAGGGAGGGGGTGAATATTGCTTAAAGTTTGTGATTTTGTTTATAGTATTCCAAGTGCCCTTTGGATTGCGTTTATTTTTACAGAACTCAGTATGGAAGAAATGGAAGTCCATAATCTCTGCCTACCCCTCTGGGTGACAGGCGTGAGTGTTTATGTATGTATGTATGTATATATTTGTAAAAGTTTTAAAAATATGTACTTATAGTACGGTAGCAATCTAAGCTCGATCTTCGACACTAAGAATAGTGCTTGACAAGAAATAAAAAATAAATATTTCAAGGACATAAGAACTTTTCTATCGTGCCAACACGCAGCATTGAGGACTACGTGGTAGAGCCATGCTGCAGCTATATTAATAGTATAGTTGTAGCACGAATGGGTCGGCTCGACCGGGGAAGGACCACGCTCTCACAGAATACCAGCGTAAAATAGCAGCTTAATGCTGCTATGTTTCGTATCGTGAGTGTAGAGAACCGGAGACCTATTTTACTGGAAAAGAGGCATTCTATCTTAGTCCTCACGGCTGACAACGCATCTGCATTTATAAGCGAAGATAGATGTAGATGTCTATGGGCCACAGCAACCACTTACCATCTGGTGGACTGTGTGCTCGTATGTCACTCTAATTCTATAAAAAAAAATAACTGTTCCATAACCTCAAAAATAAGTAAAGGTCTGTGTCCAGAATTGGGACGTACATATATAGGTAGATGAGCCACGCAGTAGCGTGTTATGGCTGTTGCACGGAAGCGTTGGCTCGATCAGGGAAGGACCACGCTCGCACAGTTTTTAAAAATAAGAACGTTTTTAAAAATAAGAATAAGAATACCAGTGTCAATGACGAAAACAGGAGACCTTTTTATTTTTTATTAGTAATGAGGCGCTCCATTTTCATCCTCAGTTGCAACGTTTTAGTTCCTAATCGAGGATAAATGTAGGTGTCAAGGATAGATATAGGCTACAACATCCCCTTACCATCAAGTGGACTATATACTAGTTTGTCATTGTCATCCCTATTTATATAAAAATGTTTAATTCAATTCAGTTCATTACAGTTAAAGCGTTTTCATCACGTTAAATAAAAATATTAGAGTTATCCACTGTAATGGCCATCGTTGAACTTAGCTTTAGGCTAGTAAGTGTCGCAAATATGAGTCTCTAAGAGATGACTACATATTTGTGCCATTTGCTGTAGAGAGAGATTATAGTTTTTAATATTGTATATAATAAAAAATTGTATATTATTTAAAATACTACGCTATTTATCATATTTTGTTCCCCTTTACATCACATCCATAAACAGTATTTTTGGTCCATAACTGGATATAGACAAGCATTTTTTTTATAGGATAAGGTGACAAACGAGCACACAGTCCACCTGATGGTAAGTGGTTACTGTGACCCATAGACATCTACATCTATCCTCAATAAAGACTCAAGATGCAGATGCGTTGTCACCCCTAAGGACTAAGATGGAATGCCTCTTTGCCAGTAAAAAGGGTCTCCGGTTCTTTACACTCACCACACGAAACACAGCAGCGTTAAGCTGCTATTTTACGCTGGTATTCTGTGAGAGCGTGGTCCTTCCCCGATCGAGCCGACCCATTCGTGCTACAACTATACTACTAATATAGCTGCAGCATGGCTCTACCACGTTAGAATTATTTGGATATATACATTACTTGGAGGATCTTACTACAAATATCACCACTGTTCTTGCGTCAGTGTTTTTGCCATCGCCATGGACACCTCTCTTACACTTCAAACGTTTACACAGCAATAGGTGCAATATGGTTGCAATGGACGAAGTTTCTATTTTGTAAATACTAGAAACAAACACAAGCTTATGCCTGTCACTTGACACAGCAGAGTTTATTTTAATGGGGCAATGTAAAATAAACATTATGCTTTTACAATAAAATCCTTGAAAATGTTCAAATACTTGTCAATTATTCAGTTTAAATAACGTCATTAAAGAAAATCTGCTTATACCATTTTCCTTCTGTTCATAAGACTAAATGTCCACTGCTGAACACGGGCCTCTGCCGTTTGACGATCACAGTACCTACCAGACATCTTACATCTTGCTGGCATCGCCGGTATTTGCGACACACATATTTTACGACAAGCGAAAACTATAATATATACTCGTATATTGCTGAAGTATACTGCAACCTATCGGAAGCCACAAGTCAGCATCTCACGACACTCACGGGACGAAATGGTGTGATGGATTGTTTTAACACCACCGCGACACTGCTAAAATTATACCTATAAAAACAGTTATTATAATATTAGGGAGTACATGAATAAAAAAACCTATCTGAATTAGGTGATGGTTACCAAACTGTTTATTATATTATGTTAGAATTTATATACTTACCTAAAAATTTTAAGATATATACATTTAGACATGAAATCCCGCTAGATTACTTGCTGGTTCCCAGAAAGGAGATAAAGGTTTTTACGAGTTTTTAAAAGGATTACTTGCCTGTGATGCACGAGAATCAGTTAAATCTTTAAAGGCAAGAAGACGCAGGAAAACCATTACTGCTTCTTCGGAATAAAAATTTGAGCCTATCGAAAAATTATCTAAGCTTCGAAATAAGTGGAAGTGTGTTGGGGCAAGGTCTGGAAAAGTAGATTATATGATACATGATTAAGCGTCTCCAGCTTCAGCTCTGGTGATTATTCTAACGTTTGTTTTGCATCATGTAGCCGGGCGTTGCCGTGAAGAAACAATAGTGAAGAACATTTCACGAATATGGGTTGCTTGAGCGCTAGCTTCTCTACCACAATTTGCAATTCTTGACAATAATGGTCATAATATCATTGTCATAGAATTACTGCCAAAGTTTTTTTGCCATTGCTTTGGCAGACTTTTATTATTTAATGTTTATGAGTTATTGGGGAGATGCTACTGCCCATCTCTGGTGTTGATTATAACTTACTACTATTTTCTATTGGTAACATTTTATATTGTCAGGTAATAATGGGTGATCGGGCGGCCGCGGAGCGGGCTTGCAAGGACCCAAATCCTATCATAGATGGGAGGAAGGCAAACGTCAACCTCGCAATACTTGGAGCAAAGCCTAGAGGGAATTTAGCACCAGGTTAGTCAAAAATTTCGTAGCATGACATTTTATCATTTATCTTACAATTTTTATTAAATTATGACATTGCCTTTTTTTTAGGAAAATGCTAATACTTTTTTTATAATATATATATATATATATATATATTATATTATATGTGTGTGTGTGTGTGTGTGTGTATTATTTAATCGAAGTATTGACCATTAGTGTTGATGTACTTTAGCATTTTTATAAGAAGTTAAAAGAAGATTTTTCACGTGGTAGAGCCATGCTGCAGTTATAGATATATTATGGTTGTAACACGAATGAGTCAGCTCGACCGAGAAAGGACCACGCTCTCTCAGAATACCAGCGTAAAATAGCAACTTTATGCTGCTGTGTTTCGTTTGGTGAGTGTAGAGAACTGGAGAACTTTTTTACTGCAAACGAGGCATTCCATCTTAGCTCTCAGGGCTGATAACGCATCCTGCATTTTGATTCTTGTTCGAGGATAAATGTAGAGTGTTTAGGGGCCACAGCATCCACTTACCGCCAGATGTATTGTGTGCTCGTTAAAGTATATTTAAAAAAAAACTGAAAATCGGTTAACCCTACAGGCCATCGCTGGAACTTCCCGCTTATTTTAGAGCGCAGCGCTGGAAAATCTATTTCATTTTTGTTGTTTTTTTTTGTTCCGACCGATCGACTTGAAAATCTAATCAGTTCGAAGTCTTAATGAACACTTTCGAATCGCTCATCTCGATCGGTTGATTCGTTCTAAAAATATCGTACGACAAAATTTTATTTACCCACATACATACATATATACATACATACATATATAAACACACACACACGGCCGGACGTCCAGCCGGGAATAGTCGGAACGGCTTCCTAGGACCTCAAAACATGGAGATCTGATAAATATTCGCATTCTCAAAATCGAACCGAAATCTATAACTTTTTACTTTTGAAAACTTATAATTTTCAAAAAAAAAAAAGGAAATGGAACGGAAATTGATGAATTCTTTTAAAGCATTTTCACTGCTTTGTGCGAATTAAAATTTTCATCTGTAAAAACGTATCCAAATTGCGATAGATTGCATTGCACGTCTTGCAGATGTGTGGACGGGCGTTGACGTGGAGAAGTAATGGATTAAAAAGCAATTGTAACTTGTCACAGTTGCTTAATTGCGAGCTTGTGCATCATCGTTTGCAATTTATACTGGCATTCCATCAGTCCTCAGGGGTGACAATGCATCTGAATTTTGATTTTTAATCTTGGATAATTGTAGATGTCTATGTGCCACAGCATCTATTTACCATCAGGTGGACTGTGTGCTCGTTTTTCACCCTTATTCTATATATTAAAAAAACCTTTAAAGTTGGTACACATCTGCAATGTAATTATTGTACAAAATCTTAAGGGACTATATAATGGAGCCAACGCTCTCAGTGTAGAGTAACAATCACAAGCAGCAGTTTGACTCTAGTCTGGCTCCACTTTTTCTTGAGTTCAATCATTATATATCATACAGCGATAATCACACACGTTTTATCACAAGTGATAGTCGGATATAGAATCCTCATTTGTGTGCCTAACAAAGGCAAGCTTCGACGCTAGTTTTCTGTTTCCCTCTTCTAACTTCATTGGGTACTCACTTTCAGAACTTGTTTATTTTAAGTAACCTTTTTTTACATGGGGAAATGCCTACTCATACCCGGCTCGCGGAGCAAGGACGGGTTATGGTAAAATCCCATGGTATTCCGCTTCCGTCGCAATTTGCCAGGGCCACGGAAACACTTTCGCACACATTCGCGGCCCCACTAGCGCTTACTGTTTATTTTAACTAATCTAACCTAACTTCAAGCAAATGAATTAATATCTTTTAGTTATTGACGTTGAATAGTGTTGCTAATTCTGACGTTTTTTGAGGTGAATGTGCCCCATTATGTATTCATGTATGCATTATTGACTTTTGTATCCGGTTCATTTGTTGATGAGATATAAATTTCCTGAACATAGCGAACTAAATAAAAATGCACTGTGAAAACGTCTATACACGTTATTGATGTTACGTGCCGCTGGGGCTATATTGGCGCCATGATGGAAATCATATTCAGAAATAATATCAATTATAAATTTTCCATGCAAAACATGAAGCTATTAAATAAATAACAATTTTCGGAATAACAAATGAACTACTAGCTGTTTAAAACGATGTTAGAGTTTTAATTTGACACTAACTTCAACTTGAAATTCCAAATGCAAAACATAGACCTTCAAGCAAACCCGTATTAAAAAACAGCGATTTCATTGCTAAGAATTATATTATTATCATCTCGTATATCATCAATACATATTAGCAAACAACACTACGTAAGTTATGTTAAATATTCACTAAATACGAGTACCTACTATATTTTATTTTATTATACTATTTACATTGACAAAAATATGTGTGACGAGCATGGATACTTCTTCAACCAATTTATTGGAAACTACGGTATAGTCGGTAACTGTATTAGTTTGGTCGAAGGTGCTAATTATATTTTATCGTTGTGCTGTTTCTAAAAATTATATATAACTTTTATATTTTTAGTTTACATTTAATTGCCTCAAAGTAAATATGATGTTCAAAATCTGTTTACAGTGCTAAATTATATGTATTCTTAAGACGACGTAGGAAGTCCTTGAATATCGCAGATTTACCTACTCGTACCTACTCGGAATTTATAAACGTCCCGGGTCCCGTTCCTTATCAACGCTCAGCTGTTTGTAAATGGAGCTTGTTTTTGAACACATGAATATTATTTTTTTCTTTTGTTCATCTCCTTTCTCCAACTCGACAGCGTGTCGTCGTCTACGCAGACAAAAAATCATACGATCGCTACGCGTGTGACCCAATAGCGGTCTGGGGGGTCAATATATTCTTTTATGAGGTCTTGTTGTAGTGTAATGTAAATTTATACTCTATTTTGAATATGAAACTTTCATATAATTATATGAAGTTAACACAGGGTAAATAAAATAGTGGTACGTTAAAAAAATAATGATGAAATATTGTTTGAAAAATGTATGCGTTGTATTGACCAGTAATGAACGTTAATAATATAAGAGTTTCAAAAAAACTTAAACAACACGCATTAATCATGAGCTGTGATGATCCTAATAATTATTTTATTTTATCCTGGTGATCCTGAACAGGATTCTAGGATAAAGTTTTTAAATTATTATATTGTCATCGAACCTTGATATATGTGCAAATTTTCAAGTCAATCAGCAGTCTACAAGTTGGCGAAAATTACATTAAAAGATTCCGTAAGAATAATAAAGCGTTTTAAAAAGACCAGAATACTAAGTAATGGAACTTTTAATCAGTTTTAAATAAAATTGCCTCATCATTAAGAAGCAATAAAAATCACATCGGAACGAACATTAAGTAGTAAATAAAAGTTACCGTATTTGTTATACATCCTACGGCTGGGCACAAGCATCTCATTTCCTAGAGGTTTATCGCAACAATTATCCGCCACACTACTCCAGTGCACATTGGCGGACTATACATTTCTTCTTAATATTTTAATCCTGCACGTTTCCTCGTGATGTTTAAAATAATTAATTAGAATTATTATAATTATTATCCTTAATGAATAAAAAAAACGTATAATATAATTAAAGATAAACATTATTTAAAAACGCAATAATTGTTTTTTATTAATTTGGATATTGCAGTTGCTATTTAACATAATGCCAACTTATTTTTTTTTCATAAAATCTAAAAATGTTAAAAAATTCGTCAAAACGAGTGTTAATAAAATTAGGTCAAATAACATTATCTATAGTCCTCGTTACTGTAATAAAAATTACAATTGTATTGATAAAATAGGCGATTAATTAAATTTGAGGTGGGCAACAGTAACTGTTAGAGTGATTATAATTTCATATCAGACAGCCGATAAGTTTTATTTAGTCGTTATCACTCGAGTATTTCATTAACAGCAGAAGTGCCATTTTGTAGGTACTGAAATATTTTTGTATGGTTGGTTAAATATGTAAATTATTTGCTTTTGCTCATTATAAAACCACCTGTGAAGCTGTTGATACATGGGGCTCTTTAAGTTAAAATGAGTTTTCGTGACGACTTGTCTCGTCCAATAAGCTAACGCGATTAAAGTAAAACTTCTCCTTATTATGGGACACTATTATACCCTGGAATGGATTGCTTAGGGCTTAATTTAGGCAAGTAATTCTTTTGTATTCGTATTTAAATTTTTTATTACATAGAAAAAGTCGCAAAAATATAATGTCTCATAATGTACTTATAGTATAACTAAAGCAATAAATATGCCAATTTAATTATAATAAATTATTTTCATTTTTTTTTATAAAATTGTAGTGACAAACGAACTGTATGTACTACAGTCAAGAATTTCAAATAATTGCAATTCATACGAATGTGAACTTTAAATACTTAAGGATAAATTCGGTTTTCAAATCACAAATACTGTTTAAAAGGTCCTAAAACTATCTTAGTTGCAATGGAATAACTTTTAATGATGGGAATTAAGTTTATTGCAAAATGCAAAGCAATAAAAAAATTCCTGCTACACGACCGTGCTTTATCAATATTCCACTGCTGAACACAGGCTTCCCCCATGGATTGCCTCATATATGTAACAGGGATGTTTACCGTAGTTGTCACGTCTAGCGTGGTTATGATGACATCCGCAGTTTAAATTTGTATGTTGTGATTAGGAAAATGCTACTGCCCATCTCCTGTTTTATTTCCCTACGTCGCCACTTACGAGACATACGGGATAATATGGTTCACTAGTCGATTCTCTTTAACCGTCACTGCACGGCAATACAAATATCTTATCAGTCTAATAAGAGTTTCCTTGTGGAATTTTAAACATCTCATCACAGCGGTGGTGGAAGTAGAGTATAGAGCATATTTGTTAATATAGATTGCAGTGAATAGTATTGACTAACTATATCTGGATATTACTGGGGCACATGTATATGAACTATTCAC